CGATTACCTATTCTACAGACCCAGTGAGAATGTGGTCTTTGTAGCACGAAGAGGGATCTTTCACGAGAAAGAATTTATAAGCCAAGGAGATAGTGGGAGGCAGATTGATCTTGAAGAAATTCAAGAATCAATTGGTGAAGGAACCTCAGACACTAGCAATCAACCTGAGGAGGAAACTCCTGTTGATCCAGCTGACGAGTCTGTACCTCCGAGGCGTTCCACACGGGTTAGGAACACACCTTCATTTTATTATGGCTTCCATATTACTACGGAAGGTGATTTGTTTATTAGTGATAGTACACTGGTAAATTTTTAATGAACCCAGTAGTGTTAAGGAAGCCATGGCAGGCCCGGAGTCTGCTAAATGGAAGGAGGCTATGGACAGCGAGATACAGTCCATGTATGACAATCAAGTTTGGAACTTGGTTGACAATGTACCAGGCCATAAAACAGTCGGGTGCAAATGGATCTTCAAGAAGAAGACAGACATGGAAGGAAAGGGTGCATACTTATAAGGCTCGACTGGTTGCAAAGGGTTTTACTTAAACTCAAGGTATTGATTATGATGAAACCTTCTCGCCGGTAGCAAAGATTAAGTCTATTAGGGTTATGTTAGCCATTGCAGCATTTCATGATTATGAAATATGGAAAATGGATGTCAAAACCGCTTTCCTTAATGGAAAGTTGGCTGAGGATGTGTACATGAATCAGCCAGAGGGTTTTGTCAGTGCAGAGTACCCTAATAGAGTATGTAAGATTGAGAAATCCATTTATGGATTAAAACAAGCATCTCGTAGCTGGAATCTTTGTTTTGATGAGAAGGTAAAAGAGTTTGGCTTCTCGAGAAGCGAAGATGAGTCTTGCGTGTATGTCAGAGCTAGTGGGAGTATAGTTAGCTTCTTGGTACTGTATGTGGATGACATACTACTCATAGGAAATGACATCCCAACCTTGCAGGAGGTTAAGTACTAGCTTGGGAAGTGCTTTGCTATGAAGGACCTAGGGGAGGCTACCTATATCCTAGGGATAAGGATATTAAGAGAAAGGAGTAGAAGACTAATTGGACTTAGTCAGAGTATCTACTTGGATAAGGTGTTGAAAAGGTTCAACATGGAGAATTCCAAGAAAGGAGATTTACCGATCCAAAGCAATACCAAACTGAGTAAGACTCAGAGTCCGAGTACAGAGGCAGAGATAGCTGAGATGAGCCAATTACTGTATGCTTCCGCAGTTGGCTCGATCATGTATGCTATGACTTGTACCCGTCCTGATGTGGCATTTGCTTTGAGCATGGTCAGCAGGTATCAGGGGAACCTGGCAAGGCTCATTGGACCGCGGTAAAGAACATTCTCAAGTACCTGCGGAGGACCAAGGATTGGATCCTTACCCTTGGTGGCAGTGATGACTTGAAAGTATTAGGCTATAGTGATGCTGGTTTTCAGACTGATAGGGATAATTTCCGCTCTCAGTCAGGCTGGATCTTTACCTTAAATGGAGGGGCAATTTCTTGGAAGTGTTCCAAGCAGGAGACGGTGGCTGATTCGACTTGTGAATCAGAGTATATAGCAGCGAGTGAAGCAGCGAAGGAGACGATATGGCTAAAGAACTTCATCGGAGACCTTGGAGTTGTACCAGCTATTAAGGAACCTATAGAGATTTTCTGTGACAACAATGGTGCGGTTATCTTAGCCAAGGAACCTAGAGATCATGGCAGATCCCGACACATTGACAGAAAATATCACTTCATAAGACACAAGATTGAAGAAGGACTCCTTATGACATGGAGGATATCGTCGGATGAGAATCCTGCAGATCCCCTTACGAAGGGACTGACGAGGGTTAAGCATTTTCAGCATGCAACACGCATCGGGCTAAGGGACGATATTAGGTTTACAGATTAGATAGTTTTCCTGAAACTTGTAAAATGTAATCGACGTTTGATGATGAATAAAATTTGTGATTTATTTATGAGTAAAGTGTTACTATCATTGTCAATTATTTACTATTGTTTCAGTTTTGCATGTTTTGACTTCCAGAATAATTAATTTATTCAAACCTCCACAATCGATCATACGTCGGAAGTAGGTATGAATCAAGATTGTCATGAATTGGGTTTGTAGATGCCTTAAAGGTGTTTAGACATGGCAATGGTTGCTGCAACATTCATGAGTACTCATAAGTTATGAGTATTGGTATAAACCCACGCTCACTTGTATCACTTCATGGAATTTATCTCGAGTGATCGTGAGACGATAACATCATATAAATCTTTAAACCTAGAGATATGAGTTGTTACCTATGAGTTGGTTGTGCATTGATTGCACGTAAACGCATCAGTAACTTGATGTTATAAAACGTGCCTTTGTGTACAATTCAATAAGTAGTAGAACAAGCATATCAGTCGAAGTTTATCTGTTCCTTCTAGAAATAGAAGCGATATCTGGGCCCCTCGATGATTTTGTGTTGACCCATGTACCAGGCCTGGTCAGAACTAAACCGATGTGTTCAGTGAAGTTCTTCGTCAAACAAATCGGAAAATCGAGAAACAACTGCTAGACAATAAGCAAGACATAGTTCCATGTGTTTGTCCGGCTGATATCATGAGAACAGAGGATTATGTGATCACTTATCTAAAATGGCGCTTCATAGTTTGACAGAGTCTTCATAGTTCGAGGGAGTTTTCGAGAGCTACGATTGCTGGTTGGTTCCTGAAGTTATAGGCAAATATAGTTATTAGACTTATCCAAGTGGGAGTCTGTTGGATAAGGTGTCTAAGTCCATAACTTATTTGGTATATACTTGACCCGACCGGCATGGTCCATTTGGGTTGCATCTCATCCAAACTATTATGGATAATTTTATGAGAGTTATACACATATGTTTATTAATATATTATGAGTTATAATATATTAATATGAAGTTACGTTATTTAATTAGTTTTAGTCTTAAATTAATTATGAATTAATTTAGAGATTAAAAGGAAACTAATTAGATTATGGGCTATTTGTTTTATATAGTGTGGGCTAATACTCATTTGTTAATGGGCTAGGCTTATGTGGAAGTCCATGGATGATCCATGGAGCTTTTAACCCATGGATCCTTGGAAAGGAAAAGACATGGGTTATTAGGGTTTCACCCTAACCATGCACACTATATAAGCATGCTTATGGAGCATGAAATGGAGCCTAAGAGAAAACTAGTGAACTAGTGTGTGTGTGCATGTGTGTGGCCGATTTTATACAAGGTGTATACTCTCTCAAAGTTTTCCAAGAGTTTGTGGTGTTTGTGATTCCATTTGAGGCATTCACACTATTGGTGCTTGGCCCTCAAACTCCTTAGAACCAAACTCACCAAAAGGTATGTAATCTTTTCTAACTCTTTTATGTTGAAATGTTCCCCATGCCATGTTAGATAGGTTATAAACCTTGGAAAATTATTATTTTGCATGTATTTAGACAAACATAGATCCAAGGTTTATTAGGGTTGCATGCACACTTAGGAAGTGTTAGATTGCTCAAAACCCAACAACTATAATACACGTGTAAAAGAAAGTATGTTGTTGTTTCTTGCATTCAACAATAAATAATAAGTGTAGTAAATTATTGACCATGGAGATTGTTTTTCCAGCATGACCAAAATGCCCTCGAGCTGTTTCCTAACATCTTCTTCAGGGTGAGAGCTTAACCGAGCAAATAGTTAAGGAGAAACTTCCTGCAGAAAGGAAAAAAAGCTAATAGTTAGAACATAACTGATTAGGTTACTGTGATAGAAAACTGGCGAGAGGGGTTCCACCCACCTGCCATGGCAACAAAGGAACTGTTGAAAGTGCATGTTCAAGTGGCAAAGTCGTACATTACCATTTCTTGACAGCAAACGTACATTACTATTTCACAAGTGTGGCATAATGTAGGTTTCTATTTCTTGATGTCTATTACTACATGCTTAAATGATTCTACATTTTCTTTGTTTCTTCAGAAATAGTGATGATGAAAGTAGAGAGGCCTGAAAGTTAAAGGAGATAATTGCCAAACCTAGTCATTAGAATATCTTTATTAAGCAAATATACAATTATTTTAGCGTACAAACTATAATTTATAGTAATATTAACATGATGAATAAACATGTTAATGATGTAAATAAAAGGGACATAATTTCAAACGAATCAAGTAAAGTGGAATTGGAGCCACCACAGTCGAGCCGAGACAACCAAGTATAAGCATGCAGAAAGTAATTCTATAATCTTTGAAACAGGAAGAAAAAAACATTTTTCCCATTGATTGAATAGAAACATTTGCTGTTATTTCTATTCATGTTGTCATGGGTGATTACCTGATAATTTTTTAAGAGACAAAGTCATTTGTAGCAAATGAGTCCCCAATAATAGGGCATTTTTCGTAATCCTGGTTAAAAAAAAGAACAAAGAATATGAAACAATAAACATATGTAACATACTCCTTTCCTAACGCGAAACCTAACATTTAAAAATAAATTGATACACAATCTTCGTCGCCCGACTTCCTTAATCCTACATAGTATTATAAGTTTCCCCTTTTAAGTCCTCACATTTTTACAAATGTTCCCTTATTTATTTATGGGTGAAATGTTACTTTCATTTCTTTTAATAACGTTGGCATCCAACTACAAACTATGAAGCATTTTCCTTAATACAAAAATAGAAATGCATATATTAAGAAAAACTATTAACAAATTATATATAAAAAAAGTGATAAAGTAATGACTACTACCCCTTAGTAATAGAATGCAACAACAATAGAGTTTTGCTACTTTATCAGCTCCTAATATAGAGGTCGCCTCATTAGATATATCCTACTGGAACATGAAGAGCAAGAGTTGTCTTTCCTGAAGCTTTTTTTTTTATTTTATTTTATTATTTTTTTTTGCAAAAAGCAAGAAATCAACAGTAAATGTTCCAAAACATGATTTTATAGAAATTTGAGAAATCAGGAAAAAAATCGGGAATGAAGAGAGAAATAGAAATATTAAGATAACTTACCAAATAGATGAGTGAGGCAAAGAATATGAGTAGGACAAGCCTTTTCCTTGAGCCATCTTGAATGAACAGGAAAATAACAGTTACGATAGTTGCTCTTGTTGTTGCTGCCCCTGCCCCTGCCCCTGCCCCTGTCCCTGCCCGACCTCCTCACCCCTTGTCCCACTTCAGTAGGACTTTGTCCCCTACTACATTTACACACAAATCAACACATTTACACACAAAACAATTTGAGAACTACATATATCAGACTTTCAATGTTTGTAATATTCGAATCCAAGTTAATATTTTGGTTTTTCGAATTTTTTGCCATTTTTATAAGTTGTTGTGTAGTGATCTCATTCGAAACAAAAACCGCTCATTCTAAGGGACAATAGGAACTGGAACATACTTTATACACACAAAAATAATCATGGAATGGACAACTGGAAAATGGCAGGTGTTCTAACGGTTCCAAGGTTGCATCCTAACTGGCGTACCTGTGCATTTCATTTGTAACAGTAATATGATTAATTACTGTGGAAATGGTTGCTTAAATCAAGAATATTGACACTGACTTGCAAATGTTAGTTTGTGGACTCAGGCTAACGCTTTGTTCAGAAAAAATTTGACCTTTCAGGTTTACCTTTTTTATTTTATTTTATTTTTTAAAGTTTATGCATTTTGATCTCATGTCGTTACAAATGCTTGTATTAAAAGCTTGTTATTCCATTTTTCTTCAAACCAAAGAAGGAATTTCAAGACAAATGCCAAGCTCATATTATTCCCAGTGTTCCTCTGTTTGTTACTTGTAGCACGACAACATTTAGTGAACATTAAACTACATAAAGCCTCTTTAAAATTATAATTACTGACATTCGAATTCATTCTTGTAGGTAGAGTTGTACCATAGCATCACATTATAATTACTGACATTCGAATTCATGAAATCATAGCCTGTGGAAATGTTTGAATAAAAATATAAAATTAATTAAAGCTTAGATCATTTACTTAGAAAGCAGATAAACAATGTGTGGATCCACCAACCTGCTAATATCTCATTTATTTTCTTCTCCGAGTTTCCCTTCTTGTATCCTGCATACAGCTCAATGTTAATATCAGAAGACTTGTCGCGCCATAAATGTTGACCTTGGACACATCTAATTTCTACATTGAAAATACAAGATCAGTTAGAAAATAAGATGTTAGCAACAAACCATTTTTGTCTCTTGTATATAATATGTTCCAAAGAAATCATAAATTCTTAATATAATATTCATTACATGCATATGAATGATTGTGCTTGGATGATGTGATGATAGGTAGTAACTAACCAATACAACATCCGCCAGACCATTGGATGAGTTAAAATTGGATGAACCTGGGAACATATTTCTAGCCAAATCTATTAAATTAATATACATCAGCAGAAATTTATATTGATCAGGATGTATATACAGAACATTGACATGAATAAGGGTATGCAAGAGATAAAGTCAACATACTCTCTCAAAGGGATTGGTTATTTCCAATAATAAGTACAGTTGTAGGGCAGGAACCTGTACTTGTGCAGGAGTCATTAGGCAAATCTCCAAATGAAAGCAAATGATCACTTCTCACTGCTCGATACTGTGGAGCTGGTACTTGTAATATTGGAGGCCATTCAGGTGGACTAGGAATGGAACACGTACCCACTTGGTCCAAATCTAAGTATTCAATCCCACACACTCTCTCGTATTCACCATCACCATCCTGATCAATACAAGTGCAACCACATTTTAAAGAGTGTTTATCCAGTTCAATGTTCACTAAATGTTTTAGTGCTACAAGTAACAAATAGAGGAACACTGGGAATAATATGAGCCTGACATTGGTCTTGAAATTCCTTCTCTGGTTTGAAGAAAAATGGAATAACAAGATTTTAAAACAAGCATTTGTAACGACGTGAGATCAAAATGCATAAACTTTTAAAAAATAAAATAAAATAAAAAAGGTAAACCTGAAAGCTCAAAATTTTTTTCTGAACAAAGCGTTAGCCTGAGTCTCTGAAGGAGGTGCTCAAAAAATTTGGTGTTCAGGGTTAAGGGCCAATTTAATTTCATAAAATTTGGTGTCTAGGGTTAAGGTCCAACTTGATAGAAATATCCTTCAAAAACAAAGCAATTTGGTATCTTTGTAAATACAATCTTGAAAAAAAAACATCATATTTTGATATTTTGATGTTGTAATGTTTTTGGTTGCAGACAACTGGCATTTAGAACTACCAAACGGATACAACTACACTGCAAACGGAAAACACAATTTGGTCTTCTTAATGCCTGGAATCAAGACATTCTCAAGAAGATTAATCAAAGGTGAAACATACATGGTTCGGTTACAGATGTTTTAAATAGATTCGCTTCATACCCACATATTCTCGAAATTGATGAGGAAAACAGAGAAATTGAAATGAAATTAGAAGAAGAAGAAGAAGAAGAGGATTTGTTACCTTCAACTTCGTGCCCCGAGTCTCGGAAGGCTTTTATTCAACTTTACAGTCGTTGATACGAGTCTAACCGGAAAGATTGTGAACGTGAGAGAAATCGAACCCTGAGATTTGGATTCAGTTACAGATGTTTTAAGCAGAGTTGCTTCACACCCACATTCAAGACTCGTGAAATTCTAGGGCACACGAGGCTACATGCTGTGTGAATTTCAGTCTACCGGAGTTCCGACACATAAGTCCGACTTGTACGCTTTCGGAGTTGTACTTCATGAGATATTATCAAGCGAAGAAGGCAAATGAGGAACGAAGGAAGGAGTGTTGATAACTAGGCAAGGCGGCAGTCGAATGTATGGAGGGGGAAGAAAGGATCGTAATTAGGGCAAAAAGGAAAGTGGAGGATAAAAAAGAAGGCGGGTGTTCAAAATTTTAGGGATTTCATTTCCCCCTGTCTATCAAACGCGCTTTTCATTAAAATTATAAAGCGACACTCATAGAGGACGCCCATTTAAGATACAACGCCCTCTGTGTTTTTAATTTTTTTCTCGTATCACGCTAATTTAAGGGCACGCAATAATGTGTCAACTAAATCCTTAAATTTTTTTGAAGAGATGACACTTTTTTAACATTACTCTATTTTGCGTAACATAAATCAAGGAGTGTCGTGGTTTGCGCGTTGTAAAAGGCTATTTTTCTTGTAGTGTGTAAATGAATGTAAGTTCTGTTTATGCTTATGTTTCTGTATTGACGATGACATCCCAAATGTTATAAAAGGAATAAAAATACATTTCTTCGGAAATGCTATGATAATGAAATTATCATGTTTTTCTGGTAACAAATTCCGCAACATTTTTATTAAAAGAGGAACTCTAATTTTTATAAAGCATAAACAAAATCGGTCTTTTCTAGCCGTGAAAATGGGGATGTCACATCTCATAAACCTTGTATTCCTCGATTTATTCAGGAGTAGCAGTTGATTCATTAATCACCTTTAGCTCTTTATCGAGAACATATTCTTTGTCCTCGTAAAGAAGGGCCATACTAATGGTTCTTATCTAATCGTTAAAGTTGGACCCATCGAAGATAGTTCTCCCAACCAAATTTATGAAAGAGAATGAGCTAGAAGGGTTTGGTCCCGAAGCATTGTTTGGGATAGACATTTGAAAAGAACAAAGTTTATATTAGAAGAGAATCCTTAATATAACACCCGAATGAAATATTAAGGCTAGGACCCAACACAATATTTTTACAATTCGGAAGAGGGATGCCATAATCCAATTGCAAAATATTTGAAGGTAGGTAAATGGCGATTTACCAATTTCTACCATGAAAAATGAAATTGATAATTAAGTTTTAATTGGATTGAAATTCCTATATTCATTGAGATTCATTGAACTTTTCAATGGCATGTATAAATCTCGATTGTGCCCACCAAGTTTATGACTGGGATGCCGAGGATCATAAAAAAGGTATGAATAACCATGCAAATTAGCTCGGTCACTCAATGTTACAAATCACTTAATCAATGTACCAGTTAACCACACATGCTCCATTAATCTATGATTAAAATCAAGCTACCCTTTGCCACACACTGTCAGTCCCATATTAGTGTGTCGGTTAACCACACATGCTCCACTAACGATTTAACAAGGTGCAAAGTGCAATTTCATGGAATAGCACCATTTTCACATTTCCTAAAGTAACTAAGATTGGAAATTTAATAAAAGCTTAGTTACTTTATAATTATCATTATACTTATAGCGAAAATTAATGTCTTATCCTACCCGCTCGAATAACGACCCTCTACCAGTCAAGGGAGCGGTGGGTGAGAGTGGACACCTATTAAACCACCATTTTCTAGTGGGTAACCTTATACCCCCTTATAGACAGACTTTGTGAATGAGGCCTACTAACAGTAAGTCTGACTTGTCTTATATATATATATATATATATATATATATATATATATATATATATATATATATATATATATATATATATATATATATATATATATATATAAGTATTAAATTTTAGTATTATAATAGTATAAGGGTTGAATTTTAACTTATAAACTCTAGGGTTTGGAATTAAATGTTTTATTAGTGAGATGTTACAAATTCCAAAACTTGAGGGCAAGTTTTGAAACTCTTTTAAAACTTTTGGTTTTCATAACTTATGAAAACTTATTAGTTTTTAATGTTCATGAATGAGACTCTTCATATAACTTGAGCACAAGTTAGAAAACTCCCTTCAAGAACAACTTAGATCAATTCAAATTAACAAGATTATCATATAATATTCTATTGATTTACTCTAAGTCATATAGTAAGAAAATTCATATCAAATCATAAAAATAATTATCTTATTATCTTAAAATTTGACAGTCGTCCTTTAATTGGATGAGGATCATCATTACCAAATCATAAAATATATTTTTTATGATAACAATACTGTTTGTGGTAATGATCCTAGTCCAATTCTGGCGAAAAACTTGAAATTCTGCAACCTAGAGGCTCTACTCGACGAGTACATGAACTGGACTCGTCCAGTTGCCCTTTTACTCAGTGGACTCATCGAGTCAGTCAGTGGACTCAGCAAGTTCATCAGTCAGACGCCAGAAAATCGACTTTTTTAGCTTTGAAAAATTACCAAGCGTCAAATATAACAGAAAACAATCCTAGACTCTGATACCACTATTAGGTTTTAGGCACTATAACACTCCTATGGTGCACATGCAACCCTAGATGCTTTGGATCTATGTTTTTTCTAATTATACAAGCATTTAAAATTTTCCAAAGCATACATCCTAACTAGCATAAAATGGAGGATATACAACATAAAACTCATAGTTAGATGAATAACTCTTACGTAGTTTTTAGTTCTTGGCCTTTGAAAACTTTAGCACCTCAAGTGTCATGCCTCTAATGTGTCACAAACACCAAATGCAAGAGATGGCTTGAGATAATAGGCTAGTCAGCACAAAATTGATTATCACTCCCTTAGAATGAATGAGCAACCGATTTTAGCTTTAGGGACTGCTTTTATAGTGTTGCAAATGATAGGGTTTCATCCATGCAAACCCTAATGCACCATGACTCTTCATATTGCTTAGGCTCCATGTGTTAAAACTCCATGGACTATCATATTGGTTTACCCCATCCTAAGTAACCATGGATGATTGACCCACACTATCAGAATCCTTAATTTACTTAATCAGTCGCCATATATTTAATTAGTCTCGTTTGATGAGTAAATTAATTTCAAATTAAGTATTGATCAATACTAATTAAATAATAATATCATTTCTCAATTAATATATTATACTTTTAATATAATAATAAATCACAAATAACCTTATTCTCAAAAGTCTATCCTATCAAATTGCATTGGTGAAGGCAACCCAAAAGAACCATGCTACAATTAGGTCAAGTACATCCCAATTATAGTTATGGGCTTAGTATCCAAATCCAACAGTCACTGCTACCTTTCCCTAACTAGCTTGCGAATACCATTACATATTACTAAGACCAGATAATTCTTCAAATGAGAGGTCTCTCCCTACAATGGTTAGATTCAGGCGAGAGTTGCGCAATAGGGCTGGTCCTAACCTTCTAAAATTATTTAGTCCTTGCAATATGTAACTTAGAATATTCGTTTACTAGTTATTTAAGGATAACTAGAACTCCTAAAAGTACAATGCAAGCAACATTCGAGCATTGAGTAACCAAAACCAAGCATATCCTAATCATGCCATCATATCACTGACTAATCAATACTATCATACATTTTAATAAGCTCATACAGTAGGCATACAAGGCATCCTCCCTAGATCCTTATCTCTAATCTAGCATGCAGTTCACATATTCACTATTCATATCACAACATAACTTGTATGGGTAATTTGGGAGAAGTTACTTGAGCTCGGTCGATTGTACGCATCACACCAAGGCTCTGATACTAACTTGTAACAACCCAAAAATCCAAGGTAAAAATTCCATTTTTACTATAGTAAAAACACTTTAATAAATTAGTTCCAGACATTGAAAAGCATTTCAAATTAACAGTTGTCATATTCTAATCCCATAGATCATAATTTGCGGAAAACAAGGGTGTATGCGCTGCGATCATCCCGAGCCCCTTTTATTTGAAAGTTGTAGTACCAGAAACAAAACTAAAAAATGTAAGCACGGAGCTTAGTTAGTTCCTCAAATACCACATACCATACATATCAACTGATCCATACATGCCATACAAAACTGTGAGCCATACATATCATTCATATATCATAATCAATAAAGGTGATATGTGTCGCACATAGGTTTTCCATGATGCCACAAGCCGCCTCATGGTCTTACTTGATAGGTTGGGGGCCAGAACCCTGGGTATTACAGACAAGTTCCAAGAGCTACCTTCTGGTCTTCCATGCAATCATCACAAAGAAAACTAGCATATAAACTATACTACTAAACCAATTACTTGCCAGAGTTCAGACTCTGGTCCTGCATACAATGTGTCAGGAGCCACCTCCTAGTCTTTCGTATGTAATGCCAAGGGATAACTCCCGAGTCTTCCTACTATACATAAATTATATGGTCCGACATTGGTGCCTTCGACACATACAAACAGTAAGGAGACTTACCTCGCACTGCTGAAGTCCTCTAGATAAAATCTAGCTGTTGACTGACTAATCAACGAACTGTCAACATGAAAACAACACCTAATTAATAATTGGGTTCCAAAGCATAACCATAAATCCATACTTGTGGTAAAAAGACCATTTTACCCCTAACCTAGCTTTGTCCAAGACTAAGGCCCAACCTCGCACTCTGAAGGCCTGAAAGCTAAATAATCAACCAAGGCCTAACTATGGCCTAATTTCCAAATTGGACCCAAACACATCACATGGGTCTTACCCTAAAGCCTATCC